AAAGATAAATTACCTACAACAAAAAAATTGAATTTTATCTTGTCAAAAAACAAGCTTTTTCTAAATCACCGTTTTTTCGTCGTGTGTTTTTGTTTATCTCAATTATTTGAAAAACTAATTGATATTTTTTACTATTGATTCGTCAAGTATCCAATTAAATCTTAATTTCAACTCAAAACACTCTTAAAGTTGAGCGTGAGATATTTTTATTACTACGAAAATTGATGAAAAAAAAATATACGGGTAATATCTCGATAAAACCGATATTACATTGTGGATACGCACAGAGTATTAAAAAAATTATGACTTCAATGTCGATACCAATTATCAAGTTCCTCACCGCGTCAGTCCTACTTTGGGCTCGGATTTTTTCCGACCTAATATCAATCCGTGATCACTAATTAGATGATTATTTTCAAATAATACCTAACTACACCATATGGTCGTGATTCATAATAATTTGAGAAGGTCCTTTCCGGGTTCTTCTCTTGTATCATTTCCCAATTATACATTTCTATGGCACAATTCTCCGAAACGTTGGGGGGGGGGATGTCGACAAAATGTAATAATACTTTTGTCGTATTTGAACACACGTATACCAGACACACTTGTACACGTGCCAGTAAAAACCGTATACAGTGTGATCCACGTCAGCCATAAACTATTATAATATGTTTTGTATAATTTTTTACGTGTCACCTAAACAGGTGTGTTGCACTCGTTCAGTGACGTTGTAAACGCGTTTTTCCTCCATTAATACATGTATTAATAAAGGAAATTGAATTTGAAATTATTTTTTGGGTTTTCCACGCAGGAACAATTCTGGTGTTTTTCTGTTTTTTTCTTTTTTTTTTTTTTATCAACATAAAAATTTATTGTTAAAGCATTACAACATAGCTACGTCGTAATTTCGAAAACATTATGCCAACACCTGGTGTGTTTGTTACATCTTTGCCCATTACTCGCTCGATTTTATAACTCTGTTACAGTTCACGATCCGTGTTTAAGGATTTATGTGATGAAGTATCGTGAATGTACCGACTAGCTGTATACATACAGCCTACATTTTATTGTTTGCGTCGTGCGACGTATATTACATTTATTTTGTGTTTTCGTTGTTTTATTATTTTCCGTATTTACTGATGTCTCCGATTGTAGATCGTTGTCTGTTTGATTCGTTGGAATAATAATAAAATGTTATTTTCGAATGAGTTTGTTTTCCGTATGCATAAACGTTTTCGTTGAAAGAGTGGATTTCGATGTGGAAAGAGTAAACAATGATTACAAGCCTTTGAGTGAAAAAAGCGTTCGAGGCAACTGATAATTTATAATGATCACAACTAATATTATGTTAACGTAAAGTAAGGTATAAAATAGGGATACATGGGGTACTTAATAATGGGTGCAGGGTACGAATAATATAGCTATCATAATAGTTGAACGGTATACAGTTTATACACAATGATGGACGATGGTTGTTCGTTGATTTGGCCCAATTTCTAAGAGTGTAACAATATTGCAAACATGGAATCTATAAAATAAAAAGAGATAAAACGGCAAAAATAAAAACAGCAATGTATACAAAAAAATCAAAAGCAATAAAGCAAAGTTTATTTTATCTTTGAACAAGGTATTATTTTAACTTATATTTTTTATAATATTTGTATAAATATTAAACCAATAAAAATTTTAAAAATATGTACACAACTTAAAAAATAATATGAAATATAATAAGTAAAAATCATTATTTGTTTTAATAATGTTGTAGATTAAAAATACGAATTTTGAATTTAAAACAACAGACCTTGCTAGGATTTTGGAAAACACTAAACATTAATTTTCAAAATGACTTATGGGCCGCAAACATTATTTTATTAAAAATACAAACTGCAGATATAAATCAATTTTTATCAAATATGAGCGTCATTCGAATTATTAATACGAAATAATATAAAAATAATAATTATTTTATTTATTGATTTGGTGTTATTTTGAGGTTGATAGACAAATCTTTATGTTTATGTCAAAATATTCATAATATTTTATAGAATTAAGCCACAAAAATAAATTTTTTTTTACACTGTAAAATGTACAAAATTTAATTTTACCTATTATTTTATACAACGACATAAAATCTGTAAATGGACCACATAGTGGACACTGGACATTACTGTTTTAAAATAATTTGTTTATGTTGTTAAACTTACCACTAGCTTAGTTGTTGATGACATAAAATATTTTCTAAGATTATTATATGTAATAATAAATAGCAATAAATAATTATAGTTATAGTTAAGTTTTAATATTTTGGTTTTCGCTTTTCTTATTTTAGGTATTTTATGGTTTTGACTTTGATTTTTTATTACAATACATAAAGTAACTGCTAGATCTATTTACCGGAGGGAAGTTACGTACATGAATATTTTTCCTTAAGCTGCTATAGCATTAGGTATAATTACGTACATCTGTAATACGCCTTTACCGAAATTATGATCTATTAGATTGAAATCGTAATTGTAATATGTATGCGAATATTTGGGTATTTAAATTATACATTCATGTAACCATGAGTATAACGCACACTTGAATATTTGAGCATGAAATATTTTGCATATTTTCAATTACCTTAGCACTTAAAACACATTACTTCAAATAAACCGCGTGCGCCACGCTGCGAAATTAAATCAACTTTTGTTTTTCACAAAGGAAGTCATTCTGACGTCACGCATGTATGAAACATCAAACATCAACTTCGATGTACAAATAAAAAAATACTCAGTGTTCGTGACTTGTTTGTGGCGTTAGAGAAAATCAATGATAAACATATGCGTATACAAACTTAGTTTATGATATATAACAAAATCTTTGAAAACTTTCACCAATTTTTGCAGTTCTATTCATCCCATCATACCATAAAATAGGTAAAATACTTACAGAGTTGACGGAAATTTTTCCCGTATTGTAATTTGGTGGTATAATAAATTATCACGTTTACATTGTTTCGGAAAAAATATTTCAAAACAGAACATTTACCTCATGTTGACATACGCATATAAATTCGGCTTTCATCAGTTTCATCATATATCGTGAAAGTCAAGAACGAATGATAAACACAATAAATTATGTATTTAAATGTACTTTCAGAAACGCTTTGATCAGTTGAACGATGATTATATGTCTATACAGTGAGTTTGCTCAAACAGATACAAACAAATATTATATCAGTTAATAACCATACTGGTTGAAATACGTCATTGAGAGGTTAAAAGTAGTAGGTATAGGTATATTATATTTAAAGAAAGTATATTTTTGTTATACCATAGGTAAAACTCGTCTTAAAAAGCATATTAACTTTTTTTAATTACGCTGTATATTTCTTGATTATTAATATTTCAAAAATTATCAATGCTGTTGTCTCGTGAATGATGTTCTCTATAAATTATTTTTTAACGAAGTTTTATTTATTTTTTCGTGTTCATATTTTTACCATTGAAAACGGTCAGTATAACGCCTACATAACAAGTGATGGTAAAATTAAAAATTATTGTAGTATTATATTCTTGTATAAAATACAATATTATAGAAAATAGGAAATATACAAAGTATATAGAATATACAGTTATAATAATATATAAGTTGTACTACTGAAAATTTAGTTATTACCAGCATGAATGCTTTTAATAATATGAACGATATACATAAATATACGCTATTTATTGTTAATCGGTGTAGCCCTACCTTTAATACTACCCCTCACCGTCAATCACTAAAACAAAATTGTGTTCAACTTTAACTTTTGAGTTTTGGTCACAACATTCAAAATAATTTGACCACAGTTAACGCAATACAACAGGATTATAATATTATTATGTCTGAAATTTGATATATTCTGTTTCACACTGGTCTTAGAGGAAAAAACTTATTTAATAATACACTATAGTTGAACAAAGAACATTATTACTTATATTCATATATTATATATTCTGCATCACCACGAACAATGATGTTTTATAAACAGGTGGAAGTAGAATATAGTAATAGTATTATATCAATAGGTACCTATATAATAAACGTATGCAGTTAACCGGATTTATCGTTCCTAACTAGTTTAGTTTTCTAGTGCATTAATTAATATTAATTATAGTTAACTATATAATGGTCATCGGACCGATTATTAGATATTATGTGTTACTGATACATAGTTTCACGATATTGGTATCAATTATTTTTCATTGGTATTAATTAGAGCACTAAAAGAGTATCGAAATATGCTCTATTGTTTTCTGTAAAAATCACGAAAATATGTAAGAAAATGTTTTTTATTTATTTAAAATTTACAAATTAAGCAACTTATTTTAATTAATTACTTAAATATTTAATGAAACATTTTCGTTTTAATATGCAATATTAACATTTTGAATCATTAAATATTCAGAAATTTGCAAAAAAAAAAGTTCACCATTAGATTCAAATTATTATGATTCGTGAAGATAACTGACAAAAATCCTAAAAAGTGAAGAAAAAAAATTTGTGATCGCATAAAAATCTGTGTTCTAGTAATAATATTAAATATAGTTTTACGATATCGATTTTTTATTCATTTGTTCTTAGTGTTTCAACTTTCAGGTGTTAGATCTCCCACTAAATATGGACATCAGACAATAACTGCAGTTTAATGTGTTTACTTTAACTTTATCATACTGAGTTTAAAAATATATGATTCATGATAAAGTTGATATACTATAATAAAAAAGGTTAAAATTAGAAGAAGAGGACCAAATAATATACAAAATATTTTGATTGTAAAAAATAAAGTAAAAACAGTTTTTGTATAATAATTTATAATTATATTATATTAACAACGGAAACAAAAAAAAAATATATATATATATAAAATCTGCACATAATAATTATAATATGTTATTTTGTTAAGATTTACAATTTATAAACAATAAACAATGAGTTTTCGTTTAACTCATTTATACTTTTACATTTCCTATTGTTTAATATATTTTCATGAAATAACTATATTCGGTTAAAATTTTAAAACAAAAATATAATAAAGTAATATGAATACGTTTAGTTTTAGACTCAAAGATTTAAAACTGTTATAGTTTCTACGGTTGTAATAATAATAATAAAAAAAAAAAAAAACAATGTTCGTGATTTAAATGGGTTTGCGTACGTCAAGTTATCCGTCGTAGTGATCACACAAATAATATTATAACTATAACACATTGTATATTGTACATTGTTTATATAGTCATAAAAACAGAATTAAATAAAACTAAAAAATAACTTTTCACTATAAAATAATAAACAACGATATAGGTCTATTACGACTTTATCGAAAAATAGAAACATGGTATATTATGATATTTTAACCGTTCGTCGTATGAGCACAAATTGTTTTTAAATAATATTAAATGTGTGTGTGCCAAGCTCGGTTATCGGTAAATGACCGTGGCGCCAATCACTTTCCGGTTACTGTGACATACATTTATGCGGACAAAAGCTTTATGATAACGATTAGTTCAAAAAGGACGTTTATAATTTACTAAACTAACAGTGATAATCGTTCAATAGAAGTGTTCAATAGGAAAAATACAAGTTCCACAATTATAATTAATTAATATATTCTGGTATTCTAGAGATAATGAAAACGTTTGCTTTAAACTAGTGTATAACAACAAAAAGATTCAATCGTAAAAATAAAAATAAAAATTAATAATTGACATATCCTAAACTTTATGAATAAATAATAGGTACGATTGGGTTGGCGAAAAATAAACGAAAATATTCTTAACTGCGACAACTGTGTAACGTACGTATGTATGTATTCGATGGGGACGACAGCGCGTACCTTAAAATAATATGTACCTTAATGTTTTCCCTCAAACTCCAGAAACAATAAAAAAAAAAATGTATTTTAATGTAAAACAAGGGCAAAGCGTAAGGTTCGAGTTTCCATAGAATATCATGAATGATGTCAACCGTAAGACACGGTCGGGACGTATGGTTATTAATAGAAAACTATATGCGTATATTGTTGAGTATATACGGGCGATTCAAAAGCCTTCACCTATACACCATTCTCGTGAACATGAGATGGTCGAGTTTATTTTCGTTTAATTTTTTTTTTTCCACGTACCATAGTTGCTGACAAACGCGTGTCTCACGAACGTTTGTAACGATTGGCGAACTACTGTCGGTTGGCTTACCGATATGGAAGCATGAAAAACAACGCCGTATTTTGAATACCAAAGCTGTATTTTGAATACCTACCGCGTATAGACTTGTGCCGGGCCGATAGTTCGCATATTCGAACGTGTTTTGTGACGCGCTTTATGGGAGCTTGATTATTTTTTACTTTACTCTCGCGCCGCCATCGGGTTTAGAGTAAACATTGATTTTCGAAATCCTAGGAAGACTTTTGAACGACCCTGTACAATAAAATAATACGTCTCTACGCGTTTATATATTTCGGATCGAACGTGTAGTGCTGCGATGACGAACAGGCTTTGGGGCCATATTACTTTTCGCGATGTAGAGTTTTAGGGGGAGGGTGAATGTATAATCATAATAATAATAATAATAATAATAATAATAATAGTAATAATACGTCTCTGTACGATCACATTACAGCGCTGCCGCCCCGACACACTAAAACCACCCTCAATTTCCGACGCCGCCATTTACTGTTTATATGGACACCCTCTTCAGGGACAACAGGGGTTGTTCGGTCGGCGGGCTGTTGTAGACCACGGCGGCCGCGGCTGCAGCGTTCGCGGCCGCCCGTTCCGCAGGTCGTATGTCCCGGTTGTAGTCGTACTGCACCGGTCCCACACACGTGCACGAGCACACGGACACCTGGTCCACGTCGTCACCCGCATCCCGGCCGATCGTGTGTCCGGCCAACAGTTTGCCGTTGACGGACGTCACTGCTTCGCCGTCGACGGTGATTACGTGTTGCGACACCCCCTGAAGCTCGTTGTCCTCGCGCCTCACTTCCTCTGCGTTCCTGTAAAAATAAAAATTCCCAGAGCCGTTAATGACGCACGCAGTAATAATAATAATAATAATAATAATAATAATAATAATAATGGTCTCTGTGTCTAAGTGTCGTATTACATGAAAAAGATTTGTCGATGTAAAATTGAACAGTAAAGCATCATAACAATATATCGATATTACAAAAAAAAAAAAAAAATTTTATTTCATATTCCAAGTAACACAATTTCCGTAACAAATAATTATTAATGAATAAATTACTATTATTATTATTGATAATTATTAATGATTAAATTCTTAAGACTATATTATTTAAAAAACAGTTTTGTATATTTTATTTTTTAATATTTTGAATTACTGATATTAAATTTTAAGATTCAAAGCGAGGTGACCTCTGAGTTACGGAAGCGATTACCACACGTGTCTCCCCCCCCACCCACCGGTCGACAAGAAAAACGATCAGGGGTTAAAGTCCTCTGGTATACAGTTTGATAATAACAATATAAAATTAATATATACCACTGTTAGATATAATTCAATTTTTATATATTACATTGTTGCCACGACAACAATACACAGACTTCGAATATGAAAAGTAGTAACTGAATAAATAGCTATATACAATAATAAGATTATTCATATGGGATCATCTCCTCATAACATGATTGATATAGTTGATAAAACTTTACGTGACATATTCAAGTCACGTGTTTCATTTTCCAGAAAGTGTTTTATACTTAAAGAGGGTCGAATTGTAATAAGATTAACTGACAAAATTGTCTGGCTGTAGAACCAGAACAAGAAATAAAATAAAAACCGAAAATAATGACTTAAAACAAATTAAATGTATTGTATTTTAAGAAACGTTAACATAATAAAATATTTTATTTATTTACGGTCTTATATACATTATTTTATATTTTATTAGAATTATATTTGTATACAGAAACACAACTAACTAATTAGCGAAACTCAATAGGGTCCTAACCGTAATCCTGATAGATGCTCAAGTTGCAGTTACCACCTTATCAATAAAATTGTGCTTTGGAACGATTTAAATTTTAAGTGTGCAATACCGTAGATATCATTATATATTCACTATTTTTAAACAACATTATCGTGAATAAAAACTAAAACGCATGTAGTATAATGATAGAATACTAATTAATTAAATATTAAAATATGGTTGTCAGCTGGTTTTTCTTCAACACTCCTCACGGAGACTTACTTTTAAATTGTTCAAATCTTACATCTGGCAGTATCGCGTATCTTGTTGAATTTTAACAAACTTATTAGTACTGTTAAAATTATTAGTATCGATATTTTTATAATAAAATGTGTGCTATGATAAAATTCAATGCTAAAAGTAGCTGATTTATTTTCTCATGTTTTTTTTTCACTGCCAAAACTATAATTTTTCATATTTTAAATATTTTATAATTTATGCTAACCCAGTCGAAGTGAGTTTTTTTTTTAAATATCTTTTTTTTAATTTAATAGTATATCCTTATTTAAAATCTTATAAAATTTCAACGACATGCTGATCTTTATTTTTTCATAATTCAATTTTTCCCCTCAAAGTAAAAGAATAAATATATAAAACTGAATAATATCGGATAAAAAAAATAATTATTTTGCGGATATAGTGGTATATGTAGATTATTGGTATAATTTTAAATTAAAACTGAGTTTTGTATGTTAACTCCAACCACAGACTTTTTATTAATGCATCACGCTACGGCTGATCATATTATATTTAGGGGGAGGTAAAGTTTATGTTAAAATATTTTCAACCGTACAAATATTTTGACAAATAACATAAATCGTATCTAATTAAAATGTTTATTTAAAAAAAAAAAAAGATATGTACTTAAGAAGACTTTCAATCATTATTATGGAACAGCTTTGATAGAAATAATAATATTATTATTTTAAATTTTAATATTCATAGACAAATAAGATAACTGGTACGTGTGCTTATACCTGCAATAGCGATAAAACCAACATTCTACAGATAAAAAAAATAATTATCGGATGAAAATTTAATTTAAAAACGTATTAAATGGTATTATTATTTTTTTTTTTTTTATGTTTGAAAATATAAATGTATGCATATTTAAAAAATAATATATTTTGTACTTGTATTTTTTATTAATTGTGTTTTGTTTTAATCGTAAAATACATTAAAGCAAATAGTGTTCTATAGCACTGATTCGAATATTTTGTTATAGTTAGGTTTCGCACAGAAATGCGCAGAAACATTAAATTTTGTCGGTATGTTATTTCGCTGTACAATAGAGAGTATTGCCGGTAATAAAGCCATAAAGGTATGTAATGTACTTTGTTCGTAATCGTATGCGTGAATTAACCGCATTCTCACCAACTGAGTTAATAGTTATTACTTATTAGTTATTAGTTTTTGGCACACACACATGTGTATAATATGAGTAGGTATATGATATAATTGTTTGGTTTTCATATTTCTTGATGACTTCCAAAGCATAATAATATGTTCAGTTGTAATCGTTGAGCGAAAAAATAAACGTCTAGTAACTTTGAAATATTGTTATATTTTTATTTGAGTTTTATGGACATCAGAGAACCCGAGTTGAACTTAAAAAAAATAATTATTACTTTTTTTTTTATTCCAAATGACCCAGGGTTATATTTGGAGAAATTCAAGTATTACGAAACATCCGTTAATTCTATATAATAGTATATTGGAAAACTGTTATAAGCTGTTATTAATTACCATCCATACTGGTTATAGAACGTCTGAGAATATAATAATAAATATAAAAATAAAATAATTTTTTATTACGCCTATACAAAAGTGTAATTTTTGATACTGGTTAAATCGTTTGGAAATTATGCTTTTGTGTCCAGCAGAAAAGAATTATTAATACTTTAAAAAGCTACAGTTCAAATAAAATTAATATTTACAAATGTATATATCGACGTTTTATCCAGCATACCAAATATTAGTGGGTAGATAGGTGGTGGGATAATTCTTTACTGATCAATGGTCAACAATGGAACAGTTAAGCGAATTCAGATAAGTACCGAAAGAAAAAAAAACTGTTCGTTATGGATCACAATTCACAACCTACTACACAATATACTATATACTACAATAGTAAGTAACTATGTATTTTTATTGAAATATCACAAAGTCATAAAGATAACATAAAAATGTGAATTTTAAAAATATATATCGCGATAACAAAACCATGTAGTATGCGACCATGCACGAGTATATTGTCTATTAAAATACATTGCATATTACAATAAGTATTGTCTATTACAATAAGTATTGTCTATTACAAAACGCTGACGACAAAAACTTACATGTTTGTCAATTTCAAAGCGATTTTCTTTCCCTGGTAACTAAATCTCAACTGAAGCAAAATTATTGTTTAATTATATTTAATATGAATTTCATACACGCGAGAGGATACTATAATATAATATAGCACCGACGTTTGTTTTGTACTGCTTTCGAACTAGTTTTATAGATCTCATCGTACACTATAATATACTATATATATATAATATATAAACATATAACACAGGGATACGAGGAATTTAATTATTCTGGACGTTATATCAATCGACTTGATTGTCATCGATGCTTGGAAACTATAACGAATGATAAAGACCGATTAAACGTTACGTACTTTATATTATTGCTGTAATGGGAAATCGTCGAGCTGATGGGACCCAAAATTGTCAGCAATAATAATAACTATTGTCGATTTGGTAAGAAAATTAAACTAACCACGAGTAGTATGTATTACACATGAATAATAATTGTATATACATATACACGTACAGACATCCTGTATTTAAAGGATACCGAACGTCGCGTCGTGATCGTCGTAGTCGAGGTCGTCCCAATATAATAAATTATTGTAATTATTATTTGCTTCATTGCGTAATAGCACATTGATTGAGTGTTGGTGACGTCGATTCGATTTTAGATTGGTCTTTGTCCGATAATATAATATTACACTAGATAACATTGTTGTACAGTTATCTGGACACGTGTAGACACGCGTTTAATATAGTTCAACAAAACGCGTGCAAGGGCGTCCGTAGAAACATATCTAATAGGATTTAAAACTAAAGGTTTATACTTTGTTTTTCCATAAGTGATTGTATATTTTGCAGATTAAACCTTTATTGTATGTCAATTATACAGATACGATTTGTGAACTTATTAAAACATGAACATTTAATTGTTAATTATTATTATCTAAACCACAATAATATATATAAGCTCATTTGATATTATTTTATTTTTATATTGAAATAAAATTTGATTATAATTCTACACATTTTTGGTGCATTTGAATTGGATCCCGAGATTAGAATAGATTTGTGGACTAACCACAGCAAGTTGGATCTAAAACTTTTTAGGAACTATCCTAGTTTTGTACCCAATATTTTCAAAACATTTACGTAACAACAATACATTTTATGTAGATGGCACATTCAAAAGTTTTCCAAATTTAATTTGAAATAAAATATGCTTAAAGAAAAAAAAACTATCTGTTAAATTGAAAAGGAAAATGTTAGCAAAATGTTACATTACCGATAAATATTCTAAATTCAATTAGCATAATACCTAAAAAAGAATCCGAAGTCCAAGTAGTGTAAATATTTTAAATTTGGGATCAAACTTGAGTACAGTCATATTTAAGGCTAAATATAATCATGCTAGGCGTTCAATATTATAGATTATTTAACCAATTTAATCTGGTGATAAACCGTAGATTTAATTTTATTATTATTCATTGTATACATATTATATATTCACATATTTTTATGTATAATTATGTATACAAATTTTGATTTTATTTTTTTTTTTAGTATCGGTGGAACTTACATCAATACTGGTGAAACTTACATGCGATTTCCATATTATAAATCTTACTCTAAAATTTGCTAACCTAAAAAGTTGTGGAATCTATGTGCATTCCTTTGCACTCTATTTTAAGTTGTAAATTG